AATATCAACAATTATTTAAGCAAATAGATATGCAACAGAAGTTAACTGTAATACGTGTAACATTTATCCCAGAACACTCAAACTGAACTCTGACACCATAGAAGTGACCAGCAGACAGCCTAAATTGATCAGGATAGAACATCTTAGCGATAAAAGACTGATCATCAATTTCACCATAGAATGTTCGGTGTGATGTCACACAATGACACACATGTATGGCTAGAGTTTACATGAAACAATCTGCAATTTCAGTAAGTTTTGGTGGACAAAATTTACAACCAAAATCCGAATAACTGATCATCAGCTTAATTATATATGCTGTGAAATGTATAGTAAATTGGCAGAGAGCGATAGAAAACTAATTCCAGTTATACAGCTGTACTCACCCTCAATTCTTGTCTGGCATCCCTTTCAAGAACCAGGCCTGACTTGACGAAGGCGTCAGTTATTACCTCTGATGGAAGAGAAGTAAAGGAACAACATCCCACATCCCAGAAATATAGCTCAATTCTATGATAGTAATAGTGAATGCTGAGTTACTGACAATGGTAGGTAATGCGCAAACTGCTTTTTTTTTCTTTCGAAAAGGGGTTTTACCCCAGCCTCTGCATCAGATAGATGCATACGGCTCATATTATTAAAACGATAATCCAGCAACAAGTCTCTAAGGGCCCGTTCGGATCCTCTCCAGCTTCTCCAAATAGCCAGCTTCTCACGAATCCAGCCTTAGCCAACTTCCAACGGGAGCAGCGATTCGTTCGGGAGCAGAGAGTTGCTCCAAACACTGTACAAACTCAAAATAGTCAGGAAGGAAGCCGGCGTGGTGAAGAGAGCTAGGATAAGTGGGCTCTCTGGCTTGGATCCGGCGGCAAGCTTGACGGAGCAGGTTGACTGGGTACCGGCGACGAGCAACGCAGGGAGTTGAAGCAGGCTCGGGCGTCCAAGATTGGGCGGCGACTGCAGTGGGTATGGGATGGGAAACCTGCAAGGATGCGGCGGAGCACCGGCGCCTCGTCGGACGGGTGGCGGCAGGCCGGCGGCCGGCCGGCGGCGGTGTGGCCGCGCCCTCCTAGGGTTACAGTCTGTAGAAAGGGGACGAGGGAACAAGAGAAACTGGGTGACGAGGGGAAGGGGAAGGGCGAACCGGTACAGGTTTGACTTGGCGGTGGCATTCTCGTGTAAATTAGAGCAACTCCACCTTCCTCTTTTTTAGAAGCTACACTTCAGCTGCTCCACGAAATTACACTGCGGCGGGTCGGGTCTCCGCGAAGCAGGCTTCCAGGAGCTGATGCGTTCGGGCTGGCTCCCACGCGGAGACGGAGAAGCTGGCTCGTGGAGAACTTCCGAACGGGCCCTAAGTTGTGAAAATAAACAAAAACTCAAAAGAGTTAAGACTAAAATCCACAACCGGCTGGCAAATAAAATAGGAGCACTACATGCCTATCCTATTACACAACCGTCATCCAAACCGATTGAAAATATCCCGAGCTACCATCTCCCATCGGGTGGACGCAGTAACCAAACGCTCCCTGGCCTCCGCCGGAGTGAGTAGCGACCATATACGGATGAACGCCGTGGCCCTGAAGACAACCTGCAAAAAGTGAATGTTCGCTGATATGTTAAAAACTAAATCATTACTGCAGTTCCAGACTGCCCAAAATAAAGCACAAACGCCAACACGAATGTGCCTCGCTGTATCGGAATCAACCCCATCAAGCCACGTTCCAAATAACATGTTGATAGAGGTGGGCGGATTAATATTAAACGCAATATGAATCAACCGCCACAGAATCTTAGCCAATGGACAATCAAGAAAGAGATGTTTGATATTTTCGTTATGGTCACAAAAACTACATCTAGCAGAACCCACCCAGTTGCGTTTTGCCAGATTATCCTTAGTCAAAATGACTTGTTTATGCACAAACCACATAAACACTTTGATTCGCAAGGGTACCTTTACTTTCCAAACGTACATGGAGGAAGGAATGACGCTAGAGTTTATTACATCCAGATACATGGATTTGACCGAGAACACACCGTTCTTAGTAAGTTTCCAATACAACTGATCTGGCTGCTGGGACAGCTGTACATCCATCAAACGTCTTACAAGATGAAGCCAGGCCTCCCAACGATTTCCAACTAGCGTCCTCCGAAAACTAATATTGAAGGGAGTGGATTGTAAAACGGTTGCAACGTAGACTTCTCTAAGTTGAACAATGTTGTACAGAGTAGGATATTGAAGTGCAAGGGGGGACTCCCCAAGCCACGTATCCTCCCAGAACCTCGTATTAGCTCCATTCCCGACTATGAATCTTGTCTTGTTGAAAAAGAGTTGTTTAACTCTCATCAAGCCTTTCCAGAAAGGTGAGTCAGAGGGCCTCACAGTCACCTGGGCCAAGGTTTTAGCATGAAGATACTTATTACGCAGAATCTATTCCCAAGTAACCTCTGTCTCTGACGAAAGTTTAAATAGCCACTTGCTAAGGAGACATATGTTTTTGACTTCCAGATTTTCAATTCCTAGGCCCCCTTGGTCCTTCGGCCTACAGATTATATCCCACTTAGCAAACCTATACTTCGTTTAAACTCATCACTCTGCCAAAAGAATCGAGATCGATAAAAGTCTAACCTTTTCCTGACACCCACCGGGACCTAGAAAAAGGATAGGAGAAACATAGGCATACTGGTAAGGACCGAATTAATCGAAATTAATCGTCCTCCGTATGACATGAGCTTCCCTTTCCAACAACTCAGTTTCTTTTCAAAATGATCTTCGATGCATTTCCACTCTTTGTTAGTCAGCTTACGATGATGAATGGGTATACCTAAGTACATGAACGGTAACGTGCCCAATTCACAACCGAACAATTGTTTATAAGCCTCCTGGTCATCATTAGCTCTTCCAAAACAAAACAATTCGCTCTTGTGGAAGTTAATTTTGAGCCCGGACAATTGTTTAAATAAGCATAACAGAAGCTTCATGTTGCTTTCGCCAAGTCGTGCTCCATAAAGATGATAGTATCATCAGCAATACTGAAGGATGGAAATACCTCCGTCAACTAGATGCAGAACAAGGCCACCTACCTGCCCCGCATCCTTAGCCCGTCCTATTAAAATAGTCAGCATATCAACCACTATGTTGAATAGGATCGGTGACATAGGATCTCTTGCCTTAACCCTTTGTGTGTCTGAAAATAGTGACCTATGTCGTCATTCACTTTAATCCCTACACTCCCTTTTTGCGTAAAGGATTCAATCTGGTTTCTCCAGGCCGGATCAAATCCTTTCATACACAAAGCTTGTTGAAGGAAAGGCCATTTAACTTTATCATATGCTTTTTTAAAATCCACTTTAAAAACAACGCCATCTAGTTTTCTTGAGTGAATCTCATGGAGCGTTTCATACAAGACAACAACCCCTTCAAGGATATTTCTATCAGGCATGAAAGCAGTCTGGGACGGATGAACTACAGAGTGCGCAATCCGCGTAAGTCTGTTCGTCCCGACCTTGGTGAAGATTTTGAAACTAACATTAAACAGACAAAATAGGCCTGAACTGCTCAATGCGAACTGCCTCTGTCTTCTTAGGAAGAAGAGTTATCGTTCCAAAATTCAGCTTAAACAACTGAAGCTGCCCCGCAAAAAACTCCTGAAACATCGGCATCAAGTCTCCCTTAATGAAATGCCAACACTTTTTTATAAAACTCCGCCGGAAACCCATCTGGTCCTGGAGCCTTATTATTTTCCATTTGTGCAATGGCCTCAAACACCTCTTTCTCCTTAAAGGGAGCTGTCAAAATCTCATTCTCGTCATTCTCAAGTTGAGGAACATCCTCAACCCTAGACTCATCTAAAGACACAAAATTCTCTTCCGGAGGTCCAAACAACTGCTTATAATAGTTGGTAATGTAGACTTTCAGATTGTCTTGACCAACTATCGTCCCTTCGTCTTGTTCTAATTGGAAAATTCTCTTTTTACGATGCTTCCCATTAGCTATCATATGAAAGAATTGAGTGTTATCCTCGCCTTGTACGATTTTGCGAACCTTAGCTCGCAACGCCCACTTCAATTCCTCCTCGCGGAGAAGCTTTTTCAGCCACAACTCCGCCTCCATCTTAGTTTCCAACTCACTGGTATCTAGGATAGAAGTTTCAGCTTTAACTTCAAGGTTCTGAATAAGTAGAAGAAGTCTTTCCTTCTCCGCCTTATAAATCCCTTGCGTATGCTTAGCCCATCCCCGAAGGAACCTTCGGAGATGACGAATCTTGCATTGCCATCGCTCAATGGGCGACCTTCCTCCTGAGTCTTTAGCCCACTCCCGAGCTAACAACTCGAGGAACCCTTCTCTTTCAAACCATGCAAGTTCAAACGAGAAAATATTCTTGTTACCCACATGTGTTTGAACACCCGAGTCGACTAGTAACGGTGTGTGATCTGAGACACCTCGTGTCAATGCCTGCACAGTTACCAAGGGAAACTTCTGTTCCCATTCGACACTAGCTAAAACACGGTTAAGCTTCTCAAAAGTCGGTACCGGTAACGAGTTAGCCCAAGTGAATTTCCTACCCGAGAGCTCTATCTCTCTGAGATCCAAGCTTTCGATGATGGTATTGAACATAAACGACCATCTGCCGTCAAAATACGTCATGGTTGCGGTTGTTTGAATCAAAGTGATTTTTTAGGTGCTAGATTAATTTGATCATTGCTTAGCCATATAATCACATGCCAGATAGGTAATGCGCAAACTGCTACTGAGGAAATTTAAAAGATCTGACAATACATACTACATGCATATTGCTTATTAGCTATATAACATTCCAAAGGATACTGCAAGCTCGAACAAGGCGCCCTTCTCCACCATTTTTTCTTGAATTTTCACCGGGGGGGGGGGGAGAGCTTCCCCCACCTGAATATATTGATCACAGAAACGGGCAAAGCCCCCAGTTCGTTACAGCAAGAGGTTTTGGGGCGACTCCGTAGAGTGCCAGAGAGCACAACACCTAAACAATAATCAGGTCAGGGAAGGAAGGCATGAAGCCATGAGTCAATGTGGGTTCTACTGTCCGCAGGCAGCTTGCAACGCCACAGCACAGCATCGTCTCTGCAACAGGCGAGCACCCGATCCACCGACGGCTGTTGGCGTTGAAAGACGACTGAATTTCGATGCTTCCAGAGTTGCCAGCAGCACCAATTTCAAGTACTGGAGCATATACAACACGGGCCCTAGCTGGTGAGCCTTTCATGCATGTCTGAAATTGCAGCATTAAGGTGATGTGAATCCCCAGAAAATGCAGAAGTATCCAAAAATAATTCATACTTGAATGTAATATTGTGTTTCAGACGTCGCTTTCCTATTCAATAACCATATAGAGTACTGTGGTGCAGTGCTGTAGTATGAAATGCTTTGTTCTTTGGCTCGGACTTAACCTGCTTACTAGTCATCTATAAATCAAATTCCGATCCAGATACAAAAGGCAAGTATTCGATGACAAAATACTTCCGGCTCTAAAGGAAACTTACCAGACCCTTAAGTTGTATAGAGATAGGTCGGTTTTCCAAAGCTTCATTTACCTGGGAAGATATTGACTGCATTGAAAAGGAAGTGAATTAAATTTCTTCATATTGTCATCCAATAAAATCGCATCATATCAGAAATGGTAATACCTGGAGGACTTCAGAAGCCTGAGAAATACGATCCTTGTTCCACAACTTCAACATAAGAACCGTTAGGTGAAACATTTTGGGTTTTATGAATATCGACTTGTCAATGCTGAACTCTGCAGGTGATTAAAAAGAGCAGTTCAATGCCTGAATATACACATAACATTGTAATTTCGAAATACATAGAACAATACTAATAACATGTAGCGTCACCAGTGTAGCACTAGTAAATAATAATAAGAGTACAAAATAGCACAGTTTCTAGATATTTCTACTAGTTGTACTTTTTTTTTCAGAATTCCAGAATTTTTAACTTAAAATATATTATATTTCTAATATCTTCCCTTTTTTTCAATTTGCCTAAGCTTCTGCAGCATCTCATTATAAAACAGTGAGCTGCTAGGTTTCCTGACATCAGCATCACACTTTGGAGCTAATAAGCTATCAGGATCGAAACAAAAAATGTGGCATGGCAGTCAATATAAACAAAACAACCTCAGACACATAAATTCATAAACTATACTTGATACCAACATTAAGCTAAAATGACATCACATATTGATATCTTGCTTTCGTCGTAAACACAATGGACCTCTATATTGATTGCTTAGTATGTTGTAATTAACTAGGGGAAAATGGCTATATTTGTTTCTTCTTTTGCTGTTCCACAATTTCATATCCCCAAACATGGAGTGTCACAGAACTTCATATTATATATAGGCCATTTAGGTCATTCTTCTTCAATCTGCAACGAGGTTACGTATGTTCTATTGACCATTCCTACTTATCAAGAACATAAGTTGATAGTATTGACTGTTATAGAACTCAAAGAAGGAACATGCTACACTTGAAAAACAAAATGAGCAAAGCTTTAGACCTGGTTGGGAGCCCTTATTATCCATTTTCACTATGACAGAATTTTCTTCTTTGACTGGCAGCTTGACTGAAACACTAGGGTTCGCTGCTTCATCAATTTCTTCCATAGAACCTTCGCTTAGGCTTTCATCCTTATCACTATCCACATTAGATGCAGACGCCCTGAGGATCGACCTCTGGAAGTTATTTAGCTTCTCGACAAGAGCCGGGTGGATGGCCAACGGAAGTGATATGAAATGCGAGTAATCTAGCATTGGACTTTGAACAGCCTGAATCATGTAAAACATACGGGCACAAATTCAGTATAGGGCCGCACTCAGCTAGAGAGATTAAGAAGTCTGACACTAAAGTTAAAGCGAGGGTTTCATGGCCAACCCAGTGGTCTCGACGAAATAAATAAGGAACACGACAAATGTAAAAAACATGTCCTCGTGATAGACACTTCAATTACCCCAATGGGGTACTACTTTCACAAAATTTGGAAAGTAAATGAGCAGACAATCATACAAATATTCCTTCTGGTATTGATGTTGCGAACTCTATGTAAGGAAGATGATGACAGCAACAACAATAATAAATGGATGTGTGCATCGCTTGATGCAAAGGCCAGGGCTCATATCTCCTTTTCGAGAAAAAAATACAGTAACAATGTCACTTCTATAAGATGTGTTTGGTGACTCACACTGGCACTTCTGCAACAGATATAGGAGCTATGTGATTCTAGCATTTTGCACATGCACTTTGATGCATTACAGAGTCGCCAAGTTAGTTTTAACTCAATGAACTTATATTTGTTAAGTAAGCTGGCTTGTGATTTGCGTAAATAGATAATGCAAGGTATCGATAAGAATTTTAGTGTGATGAACCAGATGAAGATGGAAAGTGAAACCAAACTATAACCAGTTATGATACTTCAACAGTATGGTAGCAAAGATAAACACATACAGTGCCAGTGATTCAGTAAAGACCTAAGCATACAGTAATCATCTGTCAAAGCAGTGCGTTGGATATCTACCTCTCCAAGGATCTTTGAAATCCTCTCTGATGCTTTTCTAATACTTTCAGCACTTTTGCCTTCGAGGGCTGTATTTTTTAAAAAATAACTTATTTAGCTCTGAAAATAACTAATAATAGCTACCTTATTGAACATAATTTCAGAAAGGAAGATGGGGATATTTTTACCAACAAGTGTTTCCTCCTTTGCAGATGGGAAAATGATTTTAACTCGAGTCTCCTGTTCAATCTGCTTCTGCACAGGTCCACTAAACACCAAAGAATACAAATTACACTAACAGATGAAGGTCAAGCATTATCCGCAATAAATAATTGCAAGTATGAGATCAATACCCTTTTCCTTTGAGAAAACGCATTAGAGGAACATCTACCTGGAAAAGAACAATTGAATCTGTGAACAGTATTTGGAGACTGCTTACAAAGATCACACACATATCAAGCCTGAAGGGGTAAAAAAGAGCTTGGCTGAAAACAAAATGGTTGAAGCAATCTGTGTAGCATACCTCAAGAGAAGAGGAATATTTTTCTCCCATTACCTTGGGTCCATAGTTAGTAGCTAGATGGCTTCTTCTCTCTTTTTGATTCTCAATACCATGTTCTCCTCGATGTTTTTGGAGATCTATCCGATGTAATATTCTTTTGCAGTGTGTTTGCCAAGATCTGATGAATTGTGGATTTATGATCAGCTTATCTATGAATATTATTCGAATCTTCTCTGAATTCTTATATGCATGATTTGATATCTTTGTAATTCTCTTCAGACTATCGGTTTTGTTTGGCCAACTAGATTGGTTTTTCTTGCAATGGAAGAAGTGCTTAGCTTTGGGTTCAATCTTGCAGTGTCCTTTCCCAGTGACAGTAGTGGTAGCAAGGCACATATTGTATTGTTGCCATCGAGGATAAAAAGATGCATATGTAGCGACCCAATCCCAATGGACCGTAGTCTCTGTGCTTAAGTGTCATACCTGGATCGGTATTGTTGACACACACAGTACTCGAGGATTTATAACAGAGTTCAATCACACACTTATTACATCGAGTGTCTCAAATAGAGTACTTATTACAATAATATGGCTGAAGGCCATCTAAATAAGATAACTAGGGAATCATCATAGATAAATGAGTCCATCCAACTCCACGGCAAAACTGAGTGCATGACAACGACCTATCACACCTTACTCTTCGTCTGAAAATTCTGCAACATGATACATTGCAGCCGTGTAGGTCAGCACATGGAATATGCTGGCAAGATAACACTATAGAGCAATGAACAAAATAACAGCTATCACTACATGCGCATTTGGCTGGTGGAGGCTCTAAGGTTAACATTTGCATAAAGCCATTTTTTTCCTACAACAAAGGAATAGATTTATTTAACTACCAAGTTTATGTCATTATTGAGAAGGTACCCCCAACTCAATCCCAAAATAATATTAGTAACCCAACAAATTCATTAAGTAAAGTGATGATATCAAACAATAATTCAAGTACCAGATACTCAAGATGTCCATAACCGGGGACACGGCTAATCATGATTAGTTTGTACACTCTGCAGAGGTTTGTGCACTTTTCTCCACAAGACTTGATCTCCTCCGTTGGATTTCTCGCACTACATGATGTTTGAGAAATGGATGATCAAGACACAGTCTTTCCGAAGAGGTCCCCTTAACCGATAGATAGGCTGGTACACCTACAATCCCCTACATCTGCTAGCCCGTCATGGAAAGGTTTCCCACAACTTACTCAACTATGCCAGAGCCCATAATGGCATGTGGCTGCACACGGAAGTTTCTATCATGAACAATCTTATGATCCCTTTGAGCCTGGGTGGCATTCCATAGGATGATTACACGGGTACCCCGGGATCTCCTAGAACAACACTGGATTCCCCAGGTGCCCGCAACCAACCCACCCAGATGTGTATTAAAGTAGCCACCTTAAGTTTGCCTTAGTTATTATCTCTCACAACTTGCATGAATCTCACATACCAATCCCCTTCTATGAGCATAGCAAAGCGGTAATGAGCATAACGTATATTCCTGGGGTGGATAAAAGGATAATAGGTTCCTACCTCATCAACTACTTAACCATAACCACATGTTCACAATCCTACTCATGCAAGGTTTGAGGGTTGAAACTAATGCATAAAAACTGGGTAATAAAGGGATATGATCAAAGTGTTACTTGCCTTGCTGATGACCGGAAAACCCTAGAGATTCGTAGTAGCAAGCTTTGCACTCCGGGTACTCTATCGTAAACAAACAATAGCATACATAAGCACTCAAACATAAGATGCAAGGGTAAAACCCAAATAAAAAGATCTAACAAAAAGTACAAGTGAAGAACTTCGATTTGCAAAAAGAATCGATCAAATCAGAGATACGAAACTCATGTTACGAACAAAAAAAATTCAAATTCAAATCTATTTGAAACCAAATTTTAAATTTTGAAAAACATGCTTAAGTTGGTTATTTGAACATAGGAGATCGTAATGAAGAATTTGCTGTTGGTTTCGTTGGATTTGGATAAACGAGCAAAAAGTAGTGAGGGTTTAAATATCAGGGACTAATCTGCGACAAAAATAATTACGGAGAGGTCCTTGGCCAAAAATAAACTGAAAAAGGAAAAATCTAACGAACGAACGTTCGCTAACAGAAACTAACAAACGAAAACGTTCACTAACAGATCTAAACGAATGACGTTCGCTAACTAACCTAATAAAGTAAACCGATCTAAAAGAAAAAACCGAAACAAAAAAACCAGGTCGGGTTGTTGCGGTTTATGCCGATCTAGGCGAGAAAAACTAGCGGCGCCGTCGGGCTCCGGCGGCGGGGCTTCG